TTTGGTCTGGCTTTCAAGGCAAGCCCTGTGTACCCAAGCTGGGTTGATGTTGCGGTTTAGGGTTTAGGGTTTAGGGTTTAGGGTTTAGTGTTTAGGGTTTAGGGTTTAGGGTTTAGGGTTTAGGGTTTAGGGTTTAGGGTTTAGGGTTTAGGGTTTAGGGTTTGAGGTTTAGGGTTTAGGGTTTACGGTTTAGGGTTTCAGGGCTACGCCTGAACCAGCGCAGGGCTTTCCTGCGTTGAACTCCGCCATCATGAGGTTCACTTCCGACCCCCCCAAGCATGTAGGGCTTAGGGTTCCCGAAGCCGTAGGACCGACAACCCTACAACCCTGCAACCCTTCAACCCTGCAACCCTGTAACTGCACTGATAACTGTACTTATAACCATATTAGGGCACTTCAGGGGCTTATAAGTGGGTCATAAGTACAGCTATAACTGGTTAATAAGTACCATGAACCTACAACCTTCGGGTTTAGGGTTTAGGGTTTAACCCTACAACCTTCGGGTTTAGGGTTTAGGGTTTAGGGTTTAGGGTTTAGGGTTTAGGGTTTAGGGTTTAGGGTTGAGGGTTGAGGGTTTAGGGTTTAGGGTTTAGGATTTACGGTTTAGGGTTTAGGGTTTAGGGTTTAGGGTTTAGGGTTTAGGGTAGGGTTATGGAGTCTAAAGACGCAAGGGCGGCGACCCTCCGGCGACCGACCCCATCGCCGACTTCCTCTTTGTGCGGCAGACGGAGGTTCATTGTTGTTGGTACCCCTCATGGCCCTATACCCTAAACCCTGAACCCTAAACCCTAAATGCCCTACGCCCTAAACCCTAGAGGATGCAGGAAGCGCCTTGTTCTCCTTTTTTGGTGGCTCAGGACCCCTTAACAACCTGGGGAACCTGCAGTGCTTGCAGGGGCGTAGGGGGTTTTAGGGTTGAGCGGGGTTTAGGGTTTAGGGTTTAGGGTTTTTAGGGTTTAGGCTTTAGGCTTTAGGGTTTAGGGTTTAGGGTTTAGGGTTTAGGGTGTAGGGTTTAGGGTTTAGGGTTTAGGGTTTAGGGTTTAGCGGCTTTCGGAGCCGCTGGCTTCTCCCGAGGTGTAGGGGGTGTTGCCTTTAGAGAGGACTGCCGGGCTCTAGAGGTTTGACAGTTTAGGCATAGCCTTTGAGGGGACGTGATAGGGCACCCCTCAGTCCCTAAACCCCAAAGCTAGACCCTCGAAACCCAAAGTGCAGCAGCCGAAGCGGAAACCCCTAAAAAGCCAAGGCAAGTAGCATATGCAGGTCTCTAAACCCTAAATGCAAAACCCGAAACCCTAAACACCCGCAAACGCCCAAACCCCCAAACCCCCAAAACCCCTAAAACCCTAAACCCTAAACCCTAAACCCTAAACCCTAAACCCTAAACCCTAAACCCTAAACCCCCAAACCTCTAAATGCAAACCTGGCTCCAGACCAGGCCTCGGTCCGCAGGGCGGTTGTAGCCCACGCCGGGCAGCTGGGCTTAGGGTTTGGGGTTTGGGGTTTAGGGTTTAGGGTTTAGGGTTTAGGGTTTAGGGTTTAGGGTTTGGGGTTTGGGGTTTGGGGTTTAGGGTTTGGGGTTTAGGGTTTGGGGTTTGGGGTTTCGGGTTTCGGGTTCAGGGTTTCGGGTTTAGGGTTTGAAAGCTTAGGGTTGAGGATTTAGAAGTTCCGGGTTGAGGATTCAGGTTTTACCCTGGGACGTAGGGTTGAGTGTTTAGGGTTTAGGGTCTTTCTTGAGATTCGGAGTGGCTTTGCGAATGGGCTTAGGTTGGCTTTGGAGTTTAGCGCTTCGGCTAGCACCTCGAATCCGATCCCAACGTCGAGGTCGCAGGATAATATATACGTCATTGCGAAATCCAAGCCCTGAAGGGGTTTAGGGTCTGATTAGGGTCTAGGTTTCAGGATTTAGGGCAAATCCAAGCCCTGTTAGGTCAGGTCATAGAGTTTAGGGAACTTTGCTTGGTACCCAAAAGGGGAGTTGCCAAATTGAAACCTCAAAAGCAAAGCTTGTTGAACCCTGGTCTTTCACCCCTCCACACACCCAAGCTCGGTACAGCGTTTAGGGCTTTGTGTTCCGAAGCCCTAAATCCTAAATCCCAAACCCCAAACGCTAAGCCCTAAGCCCTACACCTTAAACCCTAAACCCTAAATCCTAAACCCTAAACCCTAAACCCTAGACCCTAAACCCTAAACCATGGCTCCTCCAGGAACGTGCTCTACGCCGCGGCTCACGAGATGGTCCAGAACCTCAGCAGCACAGCCAAGAGACAATAAGTCGGGGTTCGGTGCCCAAGACCCCAAGCCCTCAACCCTCAACCCTCAACCCTCAATCCTCAACCCCCCTCAACCCTAAACCCTAAACCCTCAATCCTCAACCCCCCTCAACCCTAAACCCTAAACCCCATACCGAAACCCTTAAACCCAAACCCTACACCCTAAAACCCCAAAGCCGAAGCCCCCAAGCCCCAAGCGGCCCTGAGCCGAGGATGGTTCTGCCCTACATCACAACAGCCCACTTGTCAGCCCCTTAAGTGCCCTAATATGGTTATAAGTACAGTTATAACTACAGTTATAAGTACAGTTATAAGTTATCATTGGTTCACAAGCAACATGGCTATAAGTACAGCTATACGTACAGCTATCATTGGCTCATAAAGTACCATGAGCCTCCAAGTCAACGGCCCCGAGGATTGTTCTGCCCTACATCAACAAGGAGGTTGGGGGCGACGTGATCAGTTCCTGAGCCGCCCCGAGTTCTTTCTTCTGAAGCGGGGCGGAGAGGGGGGGGTGGGGGAGGGATTGGGGTTTAGGGTTTAGGGTTTCGGGTTTAGGGTTTAGGGTTTGAGGTTTAGGGTTTAGGGTTCAGGGTTGAGGGTTCAGGGTTTGTGTGTGGGGGGGGGGGGGGGGGTGTAAGTTTTTTCAAGTTTTGGGACTCTAGGGGCTCAAGGCCTTTTGGTCTCTGGGGGTGCTCCAGGAGAGGTTCGGATTTGGGATTTAGGATTTAGGGTTTAGGGTTTAGGGTTTAGGGTTTAGGGTTTAGGGTTTCGTGTTCAGTGAAGGATGCTGCGAGAAAGGACTAGAAAAGCAGGTCGAGGCTGGAATCCGCGAGCAGAACTCCAGAACCCGGTGCCAGGCTCACATCCGAAATCGACAGTCTTGCTTAGGCACGAACTTCTGTGGTTCACCCTAAACCCTAAACCCTAAACCCTAAACCCTAAACCCGAAACCCTAAACCCTAAACCCTAAACAGATTCTGCTGCGCACCTTGTGGCCCCTTACTGGGGTTCGTGTTATAACACAGTCCCTTGTGTACTACTTCGGGCAGCCAGAATGAACCATGTTGTCAGAAGGCGCCAACCTCAGGACCTGACATCCCAACACCAACCCCACAGCTCCCCCTTTTTTTTTTTTTTTTGGGGGGGGGGGGGGGGGCGCCATCTTCTGGGCTTAATGTACTAGGCCCTTGGGACGTTTCATATTTTCTGTCGGGTTCAGGAGAGGAACATGTTTCAGAAGGTGTTAAGGGCCATCCTCGTGTAGAGCCGACTCTTGGGCTGCCGCCAAGCCTAGAAGCCTCCAAAGCCAGTAGACTAGAATGGCCCCAGCTGGGAGTAGAGGTTAAGCTGTCCCTTAGTTTTTTTTTTTTTTTTGTTTCTTTTTTTTTTTTTTTTGGGGGGGGGGGGTCAGATTTAACGGTACATTGTGGGTAACTGGGCTTTGCAAACCTCAAAAACTTGAAGAATCTCGGCCCCCCATCCCCACAAGGCTTCTCCAACTACCGCACCGCAGTGAACGGCCTGCTGCTCTTCGGCGGCGTGGGCGTTGGGAAGCTGGCGGACAGTGCTGGGCCGAAAGTCATCCTGGCGCATTCGGTTTTTTCTTTTTTGGTGTGTGTGTGTGTGTATATATGTGTGTGTGCCGAAAAAGAAGGGGATTTTGACAGCAGAATTTGTTCTTTGACGGTTATATTGCCAAGAATCAGAGGGGCTCCTTTCTTGAAGGGATGCCAGGCGCTGCCCCTACTCCGATTGCGGACGTGGGAAAGGGGGCTACAGCCATAATCCAAATTTAGGGCTGCAGTTACCCATGTGGAGATGAAATTGGCACCTTTTCTGGGGAATGTAGATTTTCCTATGCTGTAACCGGACCCTGGCCAAAAAGTCAGCGTTTACAGAAGCCTTCAAGCTTCAATCCGTAGAAACTCTTAAGCCCGTTTGATAATGGTGCATGTGCATGTCTCCATTGCAGAGCATGATGCGTTGTGAAGACAGGCCTCACGTGTGATTGCACTCGTACTGCATGTGTCGTTGCGAAGCTTGAAGAACAAACAGAAACGATTGTTGCGAGCTTTGGCTCTGCTTGCAGGGCTCTTACTGTGGGTATGTGTCTTGCTTGAGGCGTGTCCAGTGGCTGTCAAACCCTAAACTCTTAGTAGCTGAGTGAGTTCGCTTTGCACTTTTTGGCTACTAGAACCTCTATAGAACTGAAAGTGTAATCTTTTTGGGGGCTTCTGAACTCAGCAACTAAGAACTCGAAGCCGAAACCCTGAACCCCATCCTACGGCGGGACACTGTCAAAAGCCATTGACTTTGGTGTCTAGAACAACCCTTGGTATATAGGGATCCTGAATATATGATATTATGGCATATTCCTTGACTAAGAGGTATTGGGCTCTTTGGGGAGGGCAGTTTTCTGAGTTCAGCCTGTGGCAAAAAGCAGCCTAGTGAACGTGTGACTCAGGGTTGTCAGAACCTCTATGTCTCTACGCAGCCTAACAGAAGCGCGTGTGACTCCTACTAGATTGTCCACAGGTCTTAGTTCCTTGCTTTGTTGCATGTATTGTGTGAGGGTGTGCACTTCTTGCATCTACAGATATTATGCGAAATTTGGCTGAAGCCTTTTTAGTGCGTAGACCGTGTAGCGATCATCAAGCCCACCTGCTGACATAGCTTGTCGGCCGCTGCAGGAAGCAGTTGCGCTGTCAAATTTTACTCAGCGGCTTGATGGCGTTGGAGCTTGAGTATCGTGCGACTTTCATTGACGTCTACGAGGACCCGTTTGAGCTGGCAGGCTCACTTGTGCGATCCTCTTCCGCTCCGGCCACGTACAGGAGGACGTTGGAGTGCGACGCGGAGTTCGAGGAGCGACAGCTGAAAGGCTATGTGGACAAGCTGTCCCGGAGTTTGGAGGAGCTCTCGCAAGAGGTCAGCCAAAAAGGTGCACAAGGCTATGAAGCCCAGCCGGCTGCAACTGAAGGTGACGAGGTTCAGCCCGAAGTGCCAGCCTTGTCCCCCCCTCCCCCCACACTTCCGGGCTCCTTCAGCGAAGGGAGTGTAGGGCATCCCGAGGTGTGCCGCCGACCATGCGTCTACTTCAACAGGGGCTGCTGTCAGAATGGTGCTACATGCACCTTCTGCCATTACCCGCACTCCAACCGCGGGCCCAAGTTGGACAAGAACCAGCGCTCCACACTGGACGAGATCACCAAGGCGCAGCTCCTTACGTTGGTGTTGCACTTCCTGCGTGAGCGTGCTGTGGTGACCGGCATGGCAGACGAGGCTGCCGGCGTTCTTGCCGTCTTCGAAGAAGAGCTGCGCTTCTGGTGCGGGGGCGCGGACGTTGCTGAGCTGGATGAATCAGCCATGGACACCAAGACTCGCAAGGTTGCCAAAGTGATGGGGAAGATGTCCTTTGGAGCCCTACTCAGCATGGCCTCTCATCGGTTGGACCGTGACCAGTTCCAACGTCACCTTAGCCAGGCGATGGAAACGCTACGTCGGTCTGGTGAGCTTGTCGGGATTAATTAACAGGGTCATCCACGCATGCAATCCCAGCTGCATGCATGCGCCCGTCTCACGGCTCGATCCGCCTTAAGAGCCATAAGCCCGCATCCAACTACCAAAGTCAGAAGGGTTTCGATTTCGGGGTGTTAGGCAGCAGCCCACGAGCCGCTTCACACTTGCCTGCGACAGAATGTCAGGCTTGTGTGCAAGATCTGGTGTGATGCAGGCGGCCACACAACGTGCAACAATTCGAACAGTATGCAGGCACTCTGCTTGTGCTTGTACCATGAGCATCATTCCCATCCTGCGCAGGAGAGGCCCGGCATGCTCGATCGTAGTATCATCTTACGAGCTCGCCCGACCATCCCGCATCTCTCAACTCGAAGCTCGGTTGGCCCTTTCATGTTTCCCCGATTGGGTTTGAGAGGACTCTTTTTGGGTTGTTTTGTCCCTAAACCCTAAACCCTAAACCTTTTAGGGACATCCTAGGAATGATAACCTCGTGCTTGAAGGGAACTGCTGCGCAGGCCTTGTTCTCGCAAGCTTGCGGCATCTCAGGGAGCGCGCGCTCCTCCACGCCCACCCGTCTCTTCTCGAGAGTCCCTTGAATCTCAACGAACCTTTTAGAAGCAACTTAAAACCCTCCTTATAACTACCTTGAACCTCCAAGCAGCCCTAAAACCCTAAACCCAAAGCCTAAACCCCTAACCCCTAACCCCTAACCCCTAAACCCTAAACCCTAAACCCTAAACCCTAAACCCTAAACCCTAAACCCTAAACCCTAAACCCTAAACCCTAAACCCTAAACCCCTAAACCCTAAACCCTTGTGAAATCCACCCTCTTCTAGGACCCTGTAGAGGTCAACCGAGGTCATGCCATAGCTGCTTAAGTTCTTTTCCATAGGATCCTTGGTTTTAGGGTTTAGGGTTTAGGGTTTAGGGTTTAGGGGTTTAGGGTTTAGGGTTTAGGGTTTAGCCTTGTAGTTCCCTCCCCTAAGACAGGGCGAGTTGAGTGCACTCCGCAGACGTCTTGAGCTCAACTCCCCAGTCAAAATGGGAACTCCCCAGTCAGAATGGGCTTCGTAGTGGATCGCACAAACCCAGTCTCAAAACCCTAAACCCTAAACCCTAAACCCTAAACCCTAAACCCTAAACCCTATAAATCGACTTCACTGCTGGAGCCGTCGGGACCTGGAGGGGGGGGGGGGAGGACATTTTCGTTTCCTGGGCGAGTTTGTGAGGACCTCAGATGCCTTCCACGACGGGGCTCCTGGGATTTGATTGGGCTAGCGTCGTGGGTTTTGGGTTTGGGGTTTAGGGTTTAGGTGTAGGGTTTAAGGTAATTTGTTAGGGGTAATTTGTATAGTTTGGGGTTATACCTAGTTTAGAGCTTGGAGATCAAAGGGTGTAGAGGGCTCAGCAGCATCCATGAATGTGGATCGGAGTCCCTGTTGTCTTGGAGGTCGTTATTGGCATTTGCGAGATGCCGTGGGGGGTCAGCGTGCTCTTTTCTCTCAGGTCCTTGACAGCTAGCGGGTGCAGTTTTTGGTCGGCAGAGCACATCGCTGTTCCCCCCCTTCAATCCCAAATGGAGTTTCCGAAATTAAGGGGTACCTTATGTGGGTCCTGATGAATTCTACGGGAATCCTACTATTGGGGGCTTTATTATAGGGGTCCCCTATTTTCGTAAACTCGCAAATGTGCACGCGCCTGGAATTCGATGGCCACGTCTGCGACCCTCGCTCTCGGGCCAACACGCCCTCGGCAGAAGATATGACAACGAGAGTGAAGCGCGAGGGAAGAGAAAGTTGTTGATGTCTGCTCCCTCCTGCTCCCCTTTTGAGCAGACATCCTGCTCCCCTTTGGACCGCGGATGACATCCCCTGCCGGCCTTCAGGTGCGATCGTCTGCATGCGTCACCAAGGGGGCCCTTTTTGAAGCCAACGCTGCGGCGACCCCTGGAGGGTACAAGCTATAGGGCTTAGAGTACCGAAGTAACAGGTAGCAAACGATTGAAACTGACCAGTACTCCAGCATCTACTCCCCCACCGTCGAAGTTCTTGGATTTCTCCTGCAGATCCTGTCTTGGCCAAGTGCGATGTGCACTGGAGACACTCAGCAAGTTGAGCATTCTGGAGGGAAGTTAGTCCGAGCAAACCCTAAACCCCAAACCCCAAACCCTAAACCCTAAACCCTAAACCCACTAGGCTAGAGGGGGGCGAGATGCTGTGGCGAGTCGGGATCGCAGGAGACCTGGTGAGTCGGCTGCCCAATACTTACCCAGAGAGCCCTTATTCTACCCTTGAGTTAAGGAATATCCCCGGGTTTAGGGTTTAGGGTTTAGGGTTTAGGGTTTAGAGTTTTAGAGGGATCCTGAATATAATTTAATCGCCCATTTTCTTAATTAAGGGAATATGGGGCTCTTTGGGCACCGCCTAGCAAGATCTGGCGGAAGCGGCGTTGGGAAAAGCTGCTGTTTGTTGACTGGAGACACGCGGGGGTTGAGGCCGGAATGCGTCTTCACACCTTCGAAATGATTGAAAACTGCGCCTAGGCCTCGAAGTTCGACTAGAACCAGCCGCTGTACGTCCCCTGCAATCCTGCAGCCCTAAAGGCCTGAAACTTTAAACCCCCAAAGCCCTACACAATGCCCGCCTAGAAACCGTTTTCCCCGTATCTGGGGTTACTTACGACCACCCTACATACGTTCCACAGCAAATCTTCAACCCTAAGCCCCTAAACCCGAAGGTCCTAGCTTGTTTGTTACCCAGGCTACCCTAACCCTAAACCCTAAACCCTAAACCCTAAACCCTAAACCCTAAACCCTAAACCCTAAACCCTAAACCCTAAACCCTAAACCCTAAACCCTAAACCCTAAACCCCCAAACCCCCAAACCCCCAAACCCCAAACCCCAAACCCCAAACTGCAAAGCCAAGGCTGCCCTGATGCTGGCGCATGCTGCTGGCGCCTCAAAGTTCTTTCTCGTGGCTTCGGCCAGCAGCCTCCGGGCCCTGTGCCTGGGCTCCAAAGCATTAAAGGGGTTAAGGGGTTAGGGGGTTGGCGCTTAGGGTGTGGGGTGTGGGGTTTAGGGTTTAGAGATTGATTCAGGTGTCCGATTTGGGGTCGAAGGTTGAGGGATGAGGGTTCGAGGCTGAGGGTGCAGGGTTGAAGGTTGAGGGCTTAGGGTTCGCCTCTGGTCTTTGTGCTTGGGCAGTCTTTTGAAAAGTGTGTTTCCAGCCGTACAACTTCCAGTTGCTTCAATTTGTCCGAGGAAAAAGTTATCATCTTTCAATCGGGCTCCTAAACCAGTTTGAGCGGTTTAGGGGTGCTGGGGTGTTAGGGTTCTAGGTTTTCAGACGTTAGAGCTTAAGGTTGCAGGACGTCATGGTGTCTTTAAGCGGTCTATCTTGCTGAGGACCTCTGGAGACAAACATGTGTTAGCTAGAATCGGTACATCACGCGGACAGCGGCTCTCTTGTGCTTGCTACATCACCTGCAAAAAGAACGGCTTGCGTTCAAGTAGAAGCCAGACTTCATCGCTTCAGGCTGCTGCACTTCTCGTCTTTCTCGATGCTTTGCAACAACCCCATAGGCTACCGAGTCGAAGCTTGCAGTTATTTCGTAAGTATAGGACTAGTCTGCAAGGGATGGTGGGCATACCTAGTTCCCGGCTTCAAGCATCTGGAACTGACCCAGGTATTTCTCGGCTCTTCCTGCCGCATTGATGCATGCCTTTCAGGTCACCCTGCACGTGGCTCGGGCAGCTGAGTGTTTATAAGATGTTACGCCTGGAGAGTCTTCCTTACGCTAGCTGTCAGGGGTTGGGGCTTCAAGTTGAAAAGAGGTGCTTTTTTTTTCTATTCCTAGGCGTAAGCCCTAAACCCTAAGCCCTCAACCCTAAGCCCGGAGAACCTGGTTTCAGTAGCATCATTTGGTTCGGAGGGCGAGTACTCCACAGAAGGTCATGTTATTCAGCTCCACAAATGGGCTGTGTCATAGTTGGGTACTGTTTTACATTGTTAAGGGTACTTGAACCCTATAAGGAATAAAAAGTAAATTTTTAATGCTATCCCAACCATGAACTAGCTGGGGCGTTTCCGATTTTAGGCGGTATTGGATGCGCCCGCGTTCCGTGTAATCGACCCCCCCCCCCCCCCCCCCCCCCCCCCCCATGGTATCCCCCCCCCCATGGCATCCCCCCCCAACCCTGCCTGTCAACCCTAAAAACACCACGGATCACGGGGGAGGACAGAGAAACCTCAGCCTAAACCCCACACCCTGAACCCTAAGCCCTAAAACCTAAACCCACCAATGAACGACAGGAGGGAGAAGGGTAAACCCGAAACCTTAGCCGCTTTGACCCTGAACCCTGAACCGTAAACTCAGCACGAACCACAGGGGGGAGAGGGGAAACCGTAAACCTACCATTACCCCAAACCTTGATGAACCAATGGGCCAGAGTGAAAATCCTGAACTCTACAGCCTAACCCTAAACCCCTAAACCACAAACCCATGAACCACAGACCATGAACCACAGGGGGGGGGGGACCCAAAACCCACCATGAACCGTAAGGGGGGGGGGGGGGGGGGGGGGGGGGGTGCGCCTATGCTGGCCCAGATATTAGGGGTCCCTTGTTCTCAAAACCGCAAATCCTGACCACCCTTTAGCCTTGGCAAAGTTGCTCCGTCCTGACTAGGCACGCGCCCCGAAATCCTGCACTCTTAGAGTCTAGGCTCTGAACTTCAAAAAGGCCCCGCTTACACTTGCAGCTCCTTAAGAGGGATTACAGTACCCCGATTATCCTCCCTATTAAGGACTGTTCGTATGAGGGGGAACATCCCAACCCTAGCCCCAACCTTTTCTCACCGACCAGTGTGCAGAAGCAGCCTCCTCCTACCGAACAGCATCCTTACACCAGCCCTGACCGGCCATAAAACTGAACATTAGAACTTGTCTTGAACCCTAAAACCCTACCGCCGCCCATAAGCCCCAGTAGACCCTGAGCTCCTGAACCCTCAACCCTCAGCACTGAACCCTCCAAGCCCTAAGCCCTGAACCCCATTCTCTGAGCCCTACAAGCCCTAAGCCCTGAACCCTACAAACCCTAAGCCCTGAACTCAAAACCCTGCATCCCAGACCGTGCAACCCCTGAGCTCGAGGCCCCTAAAAGCCCCCTTCGAACTGAGAGAGGGTTTAGGGTTTAGTGTGAAGGGGTTTAGGGTTTCGGATTTAGGGTTTAGTGTTCTGAGGTGGCTACGCTGAACTCCGACGACGAACGGCGTGCTGGCGCCCTGGGCCGTGTCGGCGCGCCCCCAGCCTGCCGTTGTGGGTTCAGGAAGTTCGGGGTTTAGGCTTCGGAGAGTTTAGGGATTAGTCTTCTATCGCCAAAATGCCTTACTTCAGCAAACGCCCCAAAACAGGGAGCTGCAGTTCAAGACACTAGTTGGCCTGCACAGAGGCCCTGAACCCTGAACCCTCAAGAAACCAAGGCCCAATGACAAGCCTCAACTTGCAAACCCAAAACCCAAAACCCAAAACCCAAAACCCTAAACCCTAAACCCTTAATCCCGGTAGTGGCCCTAAGCCTTGATGGCATGTAGGAGCTCGAACCCCTTAAGCCCCTTAAACCCCTTAACCCTTGGAACCCCCTCACACCCCTGAAGCCCCCAAAGCCCCCCGAAACCCCCCTCAACCCCTAAACCCCCAAGCCTCCTAAACCCTAAACCCTAAACCCTAAACCCTAAACCCTAAACCCTAAACCCTAAACCCTAAACCCTAAACCCTAAACCCTAATAAACCCTAAACCTAAGCCCCCAAAGCCCCTAAACCCCCAACCCTCTAAGCCTGTAAGTCCCCAAAACTCCTAAGCCTCTAAGCAGACTAAACCCCCCTCACACCCTTAAACTCCCCCAAGCCTAGACCCCCAAAAGCCCTAGCCCCCCAAACCCCAAACCCCAAACCCCTAAACCCCCAATAGCCCTAAACCCCAAACCCCTAAACCCTCTCGCATCCTTAAACCCCCATAACCCTAAACCCCAAACCCTAAACCCTAAACCCCAAACCCCAAACCCCAAACCCCAAACCCTAGACCCTAAACCCTATAACCCTAAACCCCAAACCCCAAACCCTAAACCCCAAACCCCAAACCCCAAACCCTAAGCCCCAAACCCGAAACTCCAAACCCCAAACCCTGAACCCTAAACCCTAAACCCTAAACTCCACACCCTAAACCCTAAACCCCCTAAAAAACCGCCAGCCCAGGCTCTACGGGATCGGCTTCCTGGCCGGCGGGGGTCTCGTCGCTGGAGCCTCGAGGCCTGGGTTTGGGGTTTGGGGTTTAGGGTTTAGGGTCTAGGGTTTAGGGTTTAGGGGTTAGGGCTTAGGGCTTAGGGCTTGGGGTTTAGGGTTTAGGGATGGTTCAAGGGATGAGGGTTTGAGAGTTGCAGGTTTGGGGGTTTGGGGGTTCGGGGGTTCAGGGTTTAGGGTTTCGGGTGCAGGGGTTTAGGGGCTTTAGGGGCTTTTGGTTTAGCGGCTTTAGCGGCTTTATTGGCTTTAGGGGCTTCAGGGGGTTTAGAGCTTCTGTAAGGCTGCAGGGAGTTGAGGGATCCCTTCCAGGAGCCTTCTCAAATGCTGTTTCCTTGGCTTCTTTTGCAAGCACTTTTAATTAGACAAAAGCAACTGAAAGGGTTCAGGGAACAACTTGTTTAGGTGTTTCGGGGGGCTTTCATCTAGTCATGGGGCGAATAGGATGCCATGTCACGGTTTTGGTGCAGCCATGGCAAAGAAGCTTTGCGCACTTCTGCCAGAAAAGGTTGCAAAGGACGGGAAATGCAAAGTTTTGGAAACCCGATTGCCGTCTAGGGCTCGGGGTTTAGGCGCCGAACAGCTTTTGTGAATTGCTGCAGCTTGGTGATGTCACTCAAGCCCTAGCCGCCCAGGCCCTAGCCAAGCAGGTATGCCGAAGCCCCTTGAACTCTCCCTGGGACAGGCTGCTGGGAAAACTATCCACATCTTAGCCCGAAACCAAAAGCTTCAAACCCTAAGCCTACAACCCTTTCACTCCTAAGCCTTCAACCCTCGCACCCTGAGCTAGGTTCTTGATCCCAAAGCACATCGCCTTCCTTGCCGCTGGCCTGGAACTCGCTGTCGTCAGCACCGTGGCATGGCTGTACCCGGAGGACGTGCGTGAGGCGCGAGTTCGGCAAAGAAGGGGTTTGGGGGGGGGGGGGGGGGGAGGGTTGCGCTGTGGCCCTTCAACCTTAAACCCTGAAGCCCAAACCCCTAATCCCTGAACCTTCAAGCCTTACACGGTAAACCCCAGAGTTCCCTCCTCAACCCCCGAAGCCCATTAGGGTTTAGGGTTTAGGGTTTAGGGTTTAGGGTTTAGGGTTTAGGGTTTACGGTGCTGTACGTTGTTAAGGCTGCGCAAGTTTGCGTGAAAGCACGTCGTGCCATCGCGAGGAGCTACGCGAGCATTGTGTTTGCAAACGCGTGCGCCCCTTCCTACAATCTCTAAGGTCTGTTACTCTATCTACTCAACTTGTTGAGGAGTCACGGCGAGCAAGCCGCATGCAGACTGTGCCAGATGCCATGCGTCACATCAGACTGCACGGCGCGTTTGCACAGACTGTGAGAATGCGGTCTATTTCGTTTGCCCGATCCTGGACTTGACACTGCGTCTAACCTATACCGGCTATGCAGCCTATGCATATACCGATATATACAGCTTAGCCAGACTGTCCTGGTTCCCACGACAACTTATATGCTCGTACGACGATACGGTGACTTTACTATTTAGCCTTTTCAACCCTGTCTCTACAGGTGCATTCTAATATCTGCAACATGTTGAAAGTGTGTGAGCACTCGCCCGCACACTCGCGCGCCTGCCCCGATCGATGTGCTCGTTCGCTTGTTTGGCTTGCAAGCGCACAGTGCACGTACACGCTCGATCCGCTTGCGTTTTGTGCCGTGTGCCATGTGGAGATTATGCTTAGAACTCATCATTGAGATGCTTTAATTTTAATAGTTCGTATATTGACGTGTACATGTGCAGGTCGTACAGACTGGCATGGCCCTTCCACGTGGGATGACAGAGCACAGATTAAGTACGGACGTGTTCGAATTTTGCGCCGTCCCTCGCTGTGTAGTGCACCAAAACGGGGTCTACTGCTGCCTGCGCACTCCCCCCAAACCTCGGGCGGCTTTGTGGTTTGCAAGTTTCGGAGCCTCAGGCGCGTTGCCTGCCGTGAAAAAGGCCTTCCTGGGATTGTTCCAGCCGGAATGATTGGCTTTCACAAGTTCTTCCCGGCACAGCCCCAACACCAGCTTAACGAACGTTTAGAATTCAAACACAGAAACAGCACCCCTTGTCATTATTAAGTTGCCAGAAACCTCGCCACTCCCAAAGCCCACATGCCCCGACGGCCATGCGGACCAGGAGCCGGTGGCCACGGAGCCTGTGGCACACCTCCTCCAGGTTTTGCCACGACCGGGTGGCTTGGTGGACCCTGAGCCCTCAATCTGGTTTAGGGTTTAGGGTTTAGGGTTTAGGGTTTAGGGTTTAGGATTTAGGGTTTAGGGTTTAGGGTTTAGGGTTTAGGGTTTAGGGTTTAGGGTTTAGGGTTTCAGGCTCTTAGGGCTTCCTGGGACGTGACAAGCATTAAGCTTTCTTTCCCAAGGGGCCATGAGAATCACTGGTTCTTCACAAGGAGCTTAGCAGCTCAAGCGCTGGCCGCCAGGGTTTAAATGGCCTAGGGCCTTTACACTAAACCCTAAACCCTAAACCCTAAACCCTAAACCCTAAACCCTATACACTATTAGTGCTTCGGGGGGGGGCTTAAGGGCGTCTCAGGACTCGGATGTCCAGCGCTGCTTTGCGGCTTTTCGTGCTCTTTCTTGCAGGCTAACTCAATCCTTAAAGTGATCGCTAAAACCCTAAACCCTAAACCCCAAGCCCCAACGGTGTAGGCCTTAACGAAAGTTTGGCGAGGCGTGCTGCCGGTGCTTGGCTTCAAAGTCATCCTCGCCAGCTCGGCGGGCAGCATCTGCTTCATGCTTCAACAGCCCCGGCCTCGGATCAGCCGCCGTCTCTCTTGGAGCCAGTAGAGCATATGATTTAGGCTATAAGCCCTAAACCCTAAATCTGAAACCCTTAACCCTTAAACCCTAAACCCTAAACCCCCAAACCCAGAAGTTCGGTGTCGGCTTCAAGCCTCCCCCAACCCACAACCCCAGATCTTATGCCCCGTAACTTTTTAGGCCGTTTCTGAGCTTCGAAACGTTGGGGCTTCTTACGGTCCGTCCGCGGTGCCCACAGGCCCCGTCCCCCCCCCCCCCCCCCCCCGATACACACAATAAGGGGAAAGTAGTGGGAACTGTTGAAGGGCCCCTAAACCCTAAGCCCTAAACCCTAAACCCTAAACCCTAAACCCTAAACCCTAAACCCTAAACCCTAAACCCTAAACCCTAAACCCTTATTAGCCCTAAACTCTAAACGCTCCTGCATTTTGAGGTTCGCCATGGATCCCTTTGGCTTGCGGGCACCGGAGGTGGCGATGCTCATGGCCTATGCAGCTGGGACCCGTGTGGCTTTGGGGTCGAGGGGTCTCGGGGATGGGTCGGATAGGGAGGCTGAGGGTTTAGGGCAGGGAGGCTGAGGGCGTGAGGGTGAAACCTTCGTGGGTGTGGGTGTGCGCAGGCATGTCGGGTTCAGGGTTGAAGCTCACAACCCCCGAATCCTTCAATCTCAACTCTTGAACCCGAAGAGATGTCGAGCCACCTCGACTCACAAAACAGGCTTCGGGGTGTCTGCAACTGTGCTGCGGGACAAATTCATGAAAGCTCGATCCCCTTTCAGGAGTCACTCTTCTTTTCTCAATGCGCCACCGGGAGCCCTAGCCAAAACAAGACACAACGCAAGTTAAAGCTCTTGAGTCTGGACTCAAAACCTTTCCCTTAGCTGAGGAAGAATAAGGCAGCACCGTCAGAAGACAAGCACAAAGTGCCCTCAAAGTTACTCAAAAGAACCTAAAGCCCTAATTGCACCCCAAACCCTGTCCCCTGCACAGGAATCCTGAGAAAGCCCCCAAACCTTATCTCCCAGAAGCCCCAGCGCAAACATGCGACACCCTGAGCCCTACCAAAAGCATCTCACTACTCTAAAGCCCGATCAGCACCAAATGCAGGCCCCCAAAACCCTAAACCCGAACCCAAAAACCCTCAACCCTCAACCCTAAACCCTCAACAAACCCCAGATCATTTGTGTCACCCAGTCATGGATCGAACGACGCAAGTCCGATCGAACCCCAAACCCCAAACCCCAAACCCCAAACCCCAAACCCCAAACCCCAGACCCCAGACCCCAAACCCCAAGCCCCAAGCCCCAAGCCCCAAGCCCCAAACCCCAAACCCCAAACCCAAACCCCAAGCCCTAAACCCTAAGCCCTAAGCCCTATAAGCCCTAAGCCCTAAGCCCTAAGCCCTAAACCCTAAACCCTAAACCCTGAACCCTAACCCTAAACCCTAAACCCTAAACCCTAAACCCTAAACCCTATAGCCTATAGCCTATACTAAACCCGAAACCCTAAACCCTAAACCCTATCAGCCCTCAGCTCCCAGGTCGGCCTACTCCAGATCGCCTCCCAGTCGCTCGTCCCGGCCTCCGCCGCCCCCTGGGAGCTCTACGTCACGTCCGCAGTGGCCTGGAACCATTCAGGGTTTAGGGTTTTGGGTTTAGGGTTTTGGGTTTTGGGTTTTGGGTTTAGTGCGTTTAGGGGGTTTAGGGGGGGTTTAGGGGGTTTTGGGGGTTTTGGGGGTTTAGGGGGTTTAGGGTTTAGAGGGCTTAGAGGGTTCAGAGGGTTCAGAGGGTTCAGAGGGTTCAGAGGGTTCAGAGGGTTCAAAGGGTTCAGAGGGTTCGAAAGGTTTAGAGGGTTCAGAGGGTTCAGAGGGTTCAGAGGGTTCAGAGGGTTCAGAGGGTTCAGAGGGTTCAGAGGGTTCAGAGCGCTTCGACGGTTTACGAGTTCAGGATTTATTGGTTTCCGAAGCAAATTTGTTCGCTCTCTGTTTAGAAGACCTCAGAGAGAACTTGACTATTGTCATTAGGAATTCTTAGCAGGTAAGCTACTTGTGGAAACGCTTCAGGTGCATAAGAACCCATGGCCTCGTAGGCCTTTTGGGCCAGGGCGTTGCACGTAAGACCCGAAACCCTAAACCCTAAACCCTAAACCCTAAACCCTAAACCCTAAACCCTAAACCCTAAACCCTAAACCCTAGACCCTAGACCCTAGACCCTAGACCCTAGACCCTAGACCCTAGACCCTAGACCCTAGACCCTAAACCCTAAACCCTAAATCCTAATCCCTAGTTCTGCTTCTTTGACCGTTCGCGAGTTGAGGTAACCGTCGGAGGGAGCCTGCTGGGTTTGGGCCTGCCGCTGGGATGGCTTCGGTGGGGTCTTCAGTCGGAAGATGCTCAAACCCCCGCGCTCTCCCCCTAAACCCTAAACCCTAAACCCTAAACCCCAAACCCTAAACCCTAAACCCTAAACCCTAAACCCTAAACCCTAAACCCTAAACCCTAAACCCTAAAACCCCAAAACCCCTAAAACCCAAAACCCGAGTCTCTGGACCCCCTAAACCCTGAACCCCGAGCCTAAACGCCCCTTTTTCGGTCTGTTGCTTTGGGTCCATGTGAACAGCCGACAGGGTTTAGGGGTTGAGTTTTCACAGAATCTCCGCCATGGATGCTCGAAAAAATGCCTCGGGACTGGGCCTGTTTTGTGTGCACTTTGGGATTCTGGGCCTCCCATCTCGGTCTGAAGTTCGGATCGACGGGCACGTTTCGTCCTCGGATCCAGGTCTCTGCTTGCGGACTTGGGGACCTCATGTCTTGTTCCACAGAGTTTCAGCCAAGGGGTCTCCAAATGCGCCCTCTTTGGTTTCAAAATGCGCTCTCTTTGAGCAATGAAAGTTCGCGGGGTCACGGTGAACCTCCAACAACAGCCTCGAGGGGGCCGCCAAGGGGTTCATGCAAAATTGGGGAAAACCACTGGACCGCTCAGACCCGCGACCAAATTTCTACATTTTAGTACAGAAGGCCAAAGCGAGCAGTCGCCCAGGCTGAGCAGGAGTCCCCAAACTGAAGGATGGTCGTGGCCCGATCAAAGGTTTAGGGTCATTCATCTTTCTCGTGCTCCTGCACGCCTGTCGCGCGCAACAGCACCTTCCAGATGCAGCTACGGGAGTTCTAAGATGAAGGATCCCTTGTAAAGCTGCTTCGCCACAAGCGATGACAAGAATTCCGTCCTGCCGCCCAGTCCCTACACTCGAAATCCCAGCACCAAATCTCCAAGCTTTTCGGTCGCTGAGGAGATTATATACCGTGGACCTGAGCTTCCATACTTGGATTGTAAAGTTACGGTTCTTATTCTGGCAACTTACAACTCAAGTTCTTGACCCGTGGGACGCCACGCTGAGGATGCCGCCATCCAAACATGGGCTGGTGCTGTGGCTCGCGCCGCTGTGCCCCGGCCTCCTCTAAGGAAGGTGAGAGCCTTTCGGGGAAAAGGCGAAACCGTAAGCCCATGATGGTCTAAGGGGCGTGGGGGGTCCGTTTCACAAATCCCTGCAGTCTAGAACGCTTAAATCCTTACATCCGAAGTCTTTAACCCCACCCCCCTCCCCGCCCCAAAGGCAAAGCGAAGGCCCAAGTTTCGTTTCTATAAATCAAGGAACACAAAAAAGAAAAACAACATGCATGATGCAAAAAAATGTACAACTATTTGTACATACTTTTGTTCTTATAAGGGCCCCCCAGTTTCGATCAACCACTTCGGTTTTTGTGGAACAAGACGTGTTTGCAATGTGCTCCCAATATGCTTCCTTAGCCCTAGGCCCTAAACCCCGAATCGCCGAAAGCCTAAACCCGCAAAACCCAAAAACCCTAAACCCTTAGCCCTTAGCCCTTAGCCCTAAACCCTAAACCCTAAACCCTAAACCCCAAACCCCAAACCCCAAACCCCAAGCCCCAAGCCCCAAACCCTAAACCCTAAACCCTAAACCCCAAACCCTAAACCCTAAACCCTAAATACACCCAACCCCAACAGCCTCAGCCAGGATCCTGAGCTTCAACTCTGCCAATACAGCCCTGGGCTCCCTGCTCACTTTCTACGTGCCGCAGTCTGAGCGGCTTGGCTTAGGGATAGGGGTTTGGGGTTTGGGGTTTGGGGTTTGGGGTTTGGGGTTTGGGGTTTGGGGTTTGGGGTTTGGGGTTTGGGGTTTGGGGTTTGGGGTTTGGGGTTTGGGGTTTGGGGTTGAAGGAAGAACCGAACCAGAGCGGAAAGAAAGACATAGAGAAATGCAAGCGCAATATTATTATCAGTATTATTATGATTATGATGATTATTATTGTTACTATTATTATTATTGTGAGTGGTGTTAGAGTTGTTTCCATGTTAAGCCGGTCCTGAGAGCATTGTGTTTGCAACTGGGGGGCTGCCCCCCCCCCCCCCCCCCCCCCCCCCCAAACCCCCTCCATTTTTTTAAACTTCATGCCCAGAAGAGAACTTGCATTACAACATCGGAATCCTTTGAAAAGCTGTCTTGCGAGCATTGTGTTTGCAACATTCTTGATGTTTTTCCCATAGAAACAGCATCTATTTTCTCTCTATGGTTTTACAGGAAAACCTCTACTTTCTCGAAGAGAGGAAACGCCAGAGCACTCTGGTGCAAAGACTCCCCGCACTTTCGTGGGTGGGGGGGCGAATGGAGGGAGTGGGGTGGAGGGCTGCTGGGGCTCAAACCGCGCGAAACCCCAAAGAGACCCCCCCCCCCCCCCCCCCTAAAGCCGAAAACCCGAAAGCTCCAAGGCTGGGCACAGTCACCGGCCTCAGTGTGGCAACGATGCCCCTGAGCAGCATCCTGGCCGTGCAGGTGCGGAGCTGGGCGGTCGAACTGCAGGTGTCTTTAGGCACGTAGGCCTTTGGGATATACATATAATTATGTAGTTATATACATCTGTATGCATACATATATATATATATACTATGTATGTATGTACGTACGTACGTACGTAGGTATGTATGTATGTATGTATGTATGTATGTATGTATGTATGTATGTATGTATGTATGTATGTATGGAGACACATTTATTTGCCCTTGTTTTCATGTTTTTACTTGTTGTTTTCCCTTGTTTAGGTTTACACGAGCATCTCGCTCAGGATTTAGAGCACGCACACAGCAGTTTTTACCCGTTAACTCTACAGCCATCAAAGCCCTCAAAGCCCTCAACCGCCGAGATAGGTCCTTCATCGGTCGTTCTGTACAGCTGTCCTGGCACTTGTTTCTTATACTCCTATACCATTGGCCCTGAACCCTTCAACCCTAGCCTGAAGCCCTAATCCCCAGATCTTGAACCACCTCTTTGAAAGGCCGCCGGGCACATCTTCAAGCGCCACGGCTTCGCCGCGGTGCCGCTCTCTTCTGCGGGCTGCTAGGTGACAATACTTGCTAGACCCCAAACGCAAAGCCCCACTAGGGTCCAGGGCCCAGGGGACCCGAACTGAACCCAAACCCTAAACCCGAAACCCTCAAACCCTGAACCCTGAACCCTGAACCCTAAACCCCAAACCCCAAACCTTAAACCCTAAACCCTCCCCAAGCCCCAAACCCTGAACCGCAGGCTTCCTGGCTGCCGCATCCGCGCTGGTGCTGGCGTGTGGATGGCTGCCGCCCGAGGGGCCCCAAGAGGAGCAGGAGGAACTGAGGGGGTGTCGGGTTTGGGGTTCAGGGTTTTAGGATTTAATTAGGGTGTTTGTAGGTGTTTATGGGATAAGTAAGGGTTTAGGGAAGATGGCTTACAGGGTTTCTAGCGTCCACGGGATGTATATACCCGAAGCCTTAACCCCCCAAACTTAAACCCTAAACCCGTAGCCCAGTGCACTTGGCAGGAGGCCACCGTGCGCGAGGCAACGTAGCAGTCGTGACCGTTTAGCCGTTTAGCCTGTGCCTCGCCCGAGAGTTTGAGGGTTTTGGGTTTGATTGCTTCGGGTCAGAGCTTGTGGTTCATGAAGTGTTCGGGTCCGCGGACAGTGTCGGGGAGTTGTTGAGGAGTTCCCCTTTTAAACTTGAAACGGTCTTCGACACACCGGGGCTTGAGGGTTTGGGGATTTTAAGGGTTTGGAGATTTTAGTCTGCATGGATGGGATCCCTTCCGAGCTATCTGACCTAGGTTGCGGTGGAACCCAACCTTGATAACACACAAAGGCCTAAGCTTTCAATCGCCACTTTGTCGTGTGTTAATGGTTTAGGGTTCAGGATCTCCCTAAACCTTGGACCTTAAACCCTGAAATCTAAACCCGAAACCCGAAACCCTAGACCCGAGACCCTAAACCCTAAACCCTAAACCCTAAACCCTAAACCCTAAACCCTAAACCCTAAACCCTAAACCCTAAACCCTAAACCCTAAACCCTAAACCCTAAACCCTAGACCCTAAGGCTTCGCTGTTTCTTGGTGGGTGGCTTCTCACATGGGTGCGCAGAGCACTTTGAGTGTAGAGCTTGGGGTTTAGGGTTGGGTGCTTCTGAGCCTAAGCCCTTGAAGGTAGTCCTAAACCCTGCCAGGGAGGATCCACAGCCTTCCGCGAGACTCCGAAAGCCCCAACCTCTCCGAATCGAGGCCACCTTGCCAGAATATCCCAAACCCTTCTCTACGCAATGTTTTTTTCGTAAATCATACCAAGAATCCCCTGTGATTCAGGGAATACTCCTTAATCCAGGGGGGCTTAGGGGGTTCCCTGCCCGTTTTGGAGTTCGTCCGGGGTTTTAGGGGTTTAAGTGGGCGGGGGTAGAAGGGTCGGGATGTTGGAAAACCCCTTAAACCCCTAAACCCTTTCAGGTTTTTTGAAAGCCCTTAAAACCGTTGTTGACCCCTAAACCATTTTTAAGGTGTGTGTTTTTGTGATCGGGCTTTCCAGGTCAGTCGGTGCGAAAGATTAGATCAACCTCTGGCGCCTGTGCCGACGGAAGGACGCATTCGGGTGCCGGGTGGGGGGGGGCACGCGTGTGCCTTTTTTGTCGTTTTGTCCCAGCTTATCAGAAACGAAAGAAACTTAAGCTTGTTTAGGGTTGTTTAGCACAGGGCCTCGGGTTTGCCCATCCAGTCGCCTGTGCTTTCCGATCGGGTCGGCATGTGCTTGCCAGTTTTATCCGACCAGGGCCTTGCCCAGATCTACCAAATAAGTAGAGGCTGGGTTGAGGGAACTCTGCTGAGCCCTAGAAAACGCTGGCTGTCATGTTCAGGGCAAGTTCCGATACTCCTTCCCCAAAACCTCATCTTAAACCCTGAGCCCTGAGACTCGATTAACCTGAAGGTACCGAAACCTCGCCCCCTTGGACACACCCCCCCACCCCCGTCCTTTCGGGGACTCTCCCGCATACAGTTTCCGGTAGGTCTTGTAATGATGAGTCTGCCCTGGACCCCCAGGTTTAAGGTTTGGGGTTTAGGCCTTAAACCCGAAACCCTAAGCCCCAACCCTAAGCCCTAAACCCTAAACCCTAAACACTTGACCACGCAGGAGTGCCTGCACACATGGCCCGAGGTCAAGGCTGGGTGCTGTCAGCGACAACCTTGCTGCTAAACCCACACCCTGCAGCACAACAACGGGGAACCTTTAAGGGGTCCGTTTCATGGGTTCTATGAAGTTCTATGATATGAATTTACCGATACGGGGTGGGGCGGCTGATTTTAGAGCAATCCGCTCCCCCGCTCCTCCCCGCACACGTACCCTCACAAGCCCAACACCTCTAAAACAGACCTCCCAAACTCCCCGAGCCGGCTGTGAGTCCCGGGGGTTTGCGGTTTAGGGTTTCGGGCTTAAGGTGCAGCATCGGCGGGCTGAGAACGCAACAGTTTGAAGACATGGCCTTACTTTCGAGCTTGTTCACCTTACACCTCCTGGCTCTTAGTAGGGAATGAGGGAATTCGGACCCTGTGTACTGCGGCAGGCGGAGAGTTCGTCGTACTCGCAATTTATTCGGGTGGCTTATAGTTCCTCCGCTGGCCAGGCCAGGACAAAACCACGAGGCACTACTCCGCTCTCCTCCGTCCACCTCGTCTTGTCAAGAGCGACGAAACTTTCTTCCTGGTCATGTATACCGCTGTATACCCTTTAAGGGGTTATACGGGGGACCTCATTCCCTCATTTTCTACCAAGAACCAGCCAGTTACAGAATCACCAAAGGCCTGGCGACGGTGTCCTTGTGCCTCGCTTGTAGTCCTCCAAAAGGCCTCAAGCTCGAAAGGCCCCGCCAAAATTGCCGCAGATGAGTTTCCGTCTTTTTCCGCGTAGTCGCAGCTGAGTTTGTTATCTCTTTCCGGACTAGACCCCGATAATCAGGGGGGTTTTAGGGTTTAGGGAGTACTTCTGTGGCTCGATTCTTAAGCTTACCGTTTTTGTGATTTTCATTGTTGCCCTTATTGTGGTCATCGCTGGTGTTTTCTTGGTTCTTCTTAGTGCGATGAATATTGTTGTCCTCTGGTGTCTTCTCAGTGCCGTTATGCTTTCGGCGTCGTCCTGATTACATCATTGTCATCATTACCAACACTGTGATTACCCCCTGGTTCTTAGTAGGGAATGAGGGAATGAGGCCCTAGATAATCCCTTAAAGGGTATAAGTAGGGCCCTCATTCCCTCATTCCTACTAAGAACCAGCCAGATTATCAGCGTTAACAACGGAGGGCTCCGAGGCAGAGAGCTGACAGGGCTTAGCTCTTCCGGTATTGGCTTGAGGGTTTCAGCCCATGAGGGCTTAGGGATTGGGGTCTCATGGTGGCTGATACTTAGAGGCACCTTACATCCCCGTATATTGCCCTGTAGGGAATTATGTAGGGTACCTAATTTTTTTCCCTGCGGAGAACCAGCATTGTATGTAAACAGAGTTTGTAGGGCTTGTGCACGGCTGTAAGGCAAGGGTTTAAGGGCTGAAGAAATGAGGGGTTCGGGGTTTGAACGAGCTGTTGTTTTGTCGGCTGTCGGTGTAGGGGGTTTGAGAGAGTCTGTGTGTGTCTGCTGGGACATTTTTAGGGATCCTCTATTTGCGTAAGCTCCCATTTGTTCTTCTTTTCGCACGACCTTGACAGGTCAAGTGCACCAAGCAGATCTCCCACTTGGCGGTGGAATGGACCAAGTCTGCGCAGCCGTGAGCATCTGTATATGGGAGCTGCCGTGTGCCTTGTCTGGGAAGCTGCCAGGAATACGTTGCTGATCAACTCGCTGTAGACGGATGAACCGTCAACCTGGATGTTGGCAGCTCGTTCGAAGCGCCCGTGCACTGTCTGCAACGCAGGGATGCCCAGCGACCACGGCTGGAAGCGTTCTTGTGTCGCCTTGAAGCGTGAATGTGAAATATGCCGTGGTGTCGCACGAACACGTTCAGAACGAAGGCCCCGAGGATCACTCTCGGCGTACGTTACCCACGTCCTGCTTGTTGCATCTGAGAAAAGGGTCCTGACCATGACTGCATGGCACTCAAAGGCCTAAACCTGAAGCCCTAAACCCTGAACCCTCTATTCGGGCAAGGCTGTAAATCTTTTTCTAGACACCCCCGACATGCTTGATATCTTCGGTGGAAACATTGATCCGGCCGGTGTAGTATGGTGTCACATGTACTTTCACGCTTTTTGCAGCTGTGGGCTGTGGGTTCAGGGTTTAGGCCCGAAACCACCCCAACCCATAAGCCCCATCAACCTACAATGGAAGTCGCCGTGGCCAGAATCCGATGGTTATGCGAGGTGTGGAACAACAGCCATTGCCGACACTATGGTCGCGCTTGTAAAGCTGCAAAACGAGTCCCGTAGCTTTGGGGGGGTACAAGGACCCTTGCTTTTCGGCACCGACTCAACGACACGAAACTCGGATGTGTGCACTTGGAGGGCGAGCTTATGGTTTGTGACTCAGCAGCAGCTGGAGACCCTGGCATCAGCAGAAGTAAAGCTCCCAAAAGACCCCAAGAAGCACCAAAAAGCCCCAAGAAGCCCTGAGAGGCCCCAAAAGCCCGACAATGCCCCTTACCTTCCGCAGGCCATGGGCACGCCCACGACCACAACGGCCACGGCCACGAAGACGATCACCCGCACACTTTGCAGCAGGAGGAGGTTGGGTTTTGGGTTTAGGGTTTAGGGTTTGGGGTTTGGGGTTTAGGGTTTCGGGTTTAGGGTTTAGGGTTTAGGGTTTAGGTTTAGGGTTTAGGGTTTAGGGTTTAGGGTTTAGGGTTTAGGGTTTGGTATTTATGTGGAGGTTTAAATAAGGGACCCTTTCTATAAACCCCCAAATAGTAGTGTTCCCTTATATGAAGGACCCCAAGAAGGTACCCCTAATTTCGGAAACACCCCAATTAGGGTGCGGTTTTGGAGTTTTGGGGTTCGGAGCTGTTTGGCAATGCCCCACAAACCCTGCAGGATTCAGGGTATTTTGTGGGTTTCAGGGGTTAAGCGCTGGAATCTCCCATCCCGGAGAAGCCCTGAAGCGGATTTTGAGTATGCATCCCTACAACCGGTACATTCCGTCATGTGACGGGGTTCTTTCAAGTCAGGGGGTCCCGTACGTACAGAAACACGGAACCCTGAAATCAGATCAGTCAGCAAACAGTAGGCAAACAAACATGAGTGGCCAAACGAAACAAGAAGTGATAAGCTTGCAAGCGAGCTCAGGAAGCATGACTAAACCATGAACCCGAACCTTCAGCCCAAAAACGTGAATCCCCATGCCCGGCAGTTGTGAGTTTTTCCTTTCGGGTTCAGGGTTTAGAGGTTTAGGGGTTTAGGGGTTGAGGGGTTTAGGGGTTTAGGGGTTGAGGGGTTTAGGGGTTTAGGGGTTCAGGGGTTCAGGGGTTTAGGGTGTAGGGTTTAGGGTTTAGGGGTTTAGGGGTTTAGGGGTTTAGGGGTTTAGGGGTTTAGGGGTTTAGGGGTTTAGGGGTT